CGTTGATTCTTAGAGTGGAAGGAAGGGAAGAGGGAAGGGAGAGAGGAAGAGAGAGAGAAACATCAACATGAGAGACACACGATTGGTTGCCTACCACACGTCCCCTGAACAGGGCTGGGGCTCAAACCACAACCGCGGTATATGCCCTTGCCCAGGAATCGAACCCGAGACCCTTCATCCCCTGGGTGGGTGCTCTAACCACTGAGCAACCCGGCCAGGGCTCCATCCACTCTTTCTGCCCTGGGCATCTCGCTGGGCAAATGTGGAGACTGGTTAAACTGACCAGGGGGGGACACCTTCTCCTTCTTCTTCTTTTTGTTGATTTTCCTGGTTCACAGGTCGATGCTCAACCATTGAGCTACACGGGCTGGCCTTGTGCATCTTTCGATGGGTCGGCCTCTACCCACAGGCTACTGATTTCAGAAAGGAAAGGAGAGGAAGAGAGAGACGTCGATGAGAGAGCAGCTGCCTCCTGCATGCCCCGCTATGGGGGATTGAGCCCGAAACCCAGGCATGTGCCCTGACCAGGAATCGAACCATATGAAGCTTTAGTCTGGGATCCTGGGGACAGACGTTGATGCCTGACGATCGTGCAACACTGGAAATGCGCACACTGGGAATTGGTGACGTGAAGCTGTCCGCTCTTTTAAGTGAAATGTTTAAAGGGGTACATTTTGCATCGTGTATGTGTCACCGCAATAAGAACAAGGCGGTCTTACTTCTGTAAATAAACTCTCTGGATGAGCCCAAGAGGAAGTCAAAACAAAATAGTGCCGTTTTGCAATGCGGCCGCCACAGGGCCCAGGACGGAGGGCGGCAGGCCCGGGCCGCTTCCCCTCGCTGCTGCCCACCCAGGGCCGGCCTGAGCCGGGGCCAAGACAGTCGGGGCCAGTGGTTCCCAACCTTATCCCGGCCGCGCCCCATCTGAGCTTCCCTAACATCCTGGGTACCCCCACCTCCCACCCCGGTGACATAGAATTCTTATTATTAAAAAAGGGAACTTCTATTCCCATGGAGGATGCATAAAAATCCATGCTCTTGGTCTAAACAAGCTGCCAAAGAACATGGTGTCCATGAAAGAGAAAACAAAAGGACGAAAGGACAGTGGACGTACTGAGCAAGAAATCTCCAAGGAATTGTTAAAAAATATATAATAATCATGTGAAGTGATATGAAAAAATAGCAAATGAAGTTTCAAAACATATCATAGAGAACTGAAACGCATAGATATGTCACAGTATATATGTATAGACTGTCTACGAGGCCCCTCGAACCATAAGAAATGCAAAACAGTCCCTGTGAATAACTCACTCTCAAATTGCCCCCCCTTAAACATCAAGTTGTCCTCCAGTGGGGCGTGTGCTTCATGCTGGGAACCACAAGTCTAGAGAGAGGAGGCTCCAGGCACTGCCTGGGAAGACCCTGGGCCCTGTCCTTCATCCCTGTAGCCAGTGGAAGCAGCTGGCGCCCCCTTCAGGGTCAGGTCGGAAGTTCATCACCTCTGCCTGGCCAGTGTGGGTCAGTGGTTGGTGCCAACCAATGAACCAGGAGGTCACAGTTCCATTCCCAGTCAGGGCACATGCTCGGGTTGCGGGTTCGATCCTCCCACTTTTTTCAGCTGCCCACCCCCCTCCCGCATTTGAGGAGGGGAGCCCCGAAGCATCGTCTTCAAAGAAGCCCTTACAGGGAACTCTGTCTGTCGGTTTGTTCCCGGCTGGCTGCCAGCAAACAATTGGGGTATTTACTGAGGGTTTCCATGGGAACTTCCTGAGCTCGAAGGGAGACGGAAACCCAGGCTCTGTGCCCCCGATCCAGCCCAGGACCCCTCGGCCCACTGGGAACTTCCTGAGCTCGAAGGGAGACGGAAAGCCAGGCTCTGTGCCCCCGATTCAGCCCAGGACCCCTCGAGGGCAGGGTGCAGG